GAACAGTCAAGGTTCATTGATATTTTGCGAATTAAGTATTTACTGTTTTCCTCTCACATTTTACTAAGACACTCTGCAATTTTCACTTCAAATACATTGGATTGTCCTCACTCGTGTTCTTGTTCTCGTTGTTGTTGTTGTTGTTGTTGTTGTTGTTGTTGTTGACCACACTATGAATACTATTTCAATTACAACTACAAATACAACGAACAAACAAAAACAGTACTACAACCACAAACAAAACCACAATCACCAAGTCACACTCTCCACATTCTCACTCCTGTGTGCCCTGTTACTTGCACACTTCATTTAATTCATTCACAACACCGACCAGTCACAGTCACTTGCCTAGTCCCACTCACACACAACATCGTCTCCTCACTGTATCCCAACACTTCTACTGTCATGTGTGCCGATTGCTGCTTAACTCAGTGTGAACTTGATTGAGCACGTGGGATGGCATGCAGATACATTGAGTGGACAAGTGTCAAACAGACAGGATGAAACACACTCTCCCTCACTGACTCATCGTCTCAACCTGTGTTACACTGCGTAGTTTGTCGAAGCAGACAGTGGTGGATGGATTGACACGGGGTGATGAGTGGTGAGTGGTTGTGTGGTTGATTGATTGAGTGTGTGAGTGATTGAGTGTGTGTGTGATTGAGTGTGTGAGTGAGTGAGTGAGTGAGTGAGTGAGTGAGTAGTATGTGTTGTGTAGTGTGTAGTGTTGTCGTGAATAGCAGAGTGTATTTGCATGATGAAATGATGGTGAAATGGAATGTTGAAATTGATGAGTAAGTTTTGTGTAGTTCCAATCATTTTCCGTTTGGCCGAGTGGTCTAAGGAGTTGGATGGGGAACCACCTTTAAACGGCGCCGGTTCGAATCCCACCATCAACATACCTATTCACAACCACTAACATCACATTTTCACATCACACGCAATACCCACTATCACATACATACTACCACAATCACACAATCACAGCCCAACATCATCACACTCATCAATAACAACCAATACTACTACTAATCATATATGTTATAATACTACTTATATCTATATAAGTAGTATATATGGCGAGTCAGGAATAGAATGTGTGGCAGCAGAAATTCGTCAAGTTGGAGGAGGAAAGAACCTGAACAGAAACCGATTGGTATTGAAATGAAGGAACAGTGAATTGTCAGACGATTGATTGACATTCGCAAAGGAACAGTCAAGGTTCATTGATATTTTGCGAATTAAGTATTTACTGTTTTCCTCTCACATTTTACTAAGACACTCTGCAATTTTCACTTCAAATACATTGGATTGTCCTCACTCGTGTTCTTGTTCTCGTTGTTGTTGTTGTTGTTGTTGTTGTTGTTGTTGTTGACCACACTATGAATACTATTTCAATTACAACTACAAATACAACGAACAAACAAAAACAGTACTACAACCACAAACAAAACCACAATCACCAAGTCACACTCTCCACATTCTCACTCCTGTGTGCCCTGTTACTTGCACACTTCATTTAATTCATTCACAACACCGACCAGTCACAGTCACTTGCCTAGTCCCACTCACACACAACATCGTCTCCTCACTGTATCCCAACACTTCTACTGTCATGTGTGCCGATTGCTGCTTAACTCAGTGTGAACTTGATTGAGCACGTGGGATGGCATGCAGATACATTGAGTGGACAAGTGTCAAACAGACAGGATGAAACACACTCTCCCTCACTGACTCATCGTCTCAACCTGTGTTACACTGCGTAGTTTGTCGAAGCAGACAGTGGTGGATGGATTGACACGGGGTGATGAGTGGTGAGTGGTTGTGTGGTTGATTGATTGAGTGTGTGAGTGATGGAGTGTGTGTGTGATTGATTGTGTGAGTGAGTGAGTGAGTGAGTGAGTGAGTGAGTGAGTGAGTGAGTGAGTGAGTGAGTGAGTGAGTGAGTAGTATGTGTTGTGTAGTGTGTAGTGTTGTCGTGAATAGCAGAGTGTATTTGCAAGATGAAATGATGGTGAAATGGAATGTTGAAATTGATGAGTAAGTTTTGTGTAGTTCCAATCATTTCCGTGTGGCCGAGTGGTCTAAGGAGTTGGATGGGGAACCACCTTTAAACGGCGCCAGTTTGAATCCCACCATCAACATACCTATTCACAACCACTAACATCACATTTTCACATCACACGCAATACCCACTATCACATACATACTACCACAATCACACAATCACAGCCCAACATCATCACACTCATCAATAACAACCAATACTACTACTACTACTACTACTAATACTAATACTACTTATATCTATATAAGTAGTATATATGGCGAGTCAGGAATAGAATGTGTGGCAGCAGAAATTCGTCAAGTTGGAGGAGGAAAGAACCTGAACAGAAACCGATTGGTATTGAAATGAAGGAACAGTGAATTGTCAGACGATTGATTGACATTCGCAAAGGAACAGTCAAGGTTCATTGATATTTTGCGAATTAAGTATTTACTGTTTTCCTCTCACATTTTACTAAGACACTCTGCAATTTTCACTTCAAATACATTGGATTGTCCTCACTCGTGTTCTTGTTCTCGTTGTTGTTGTTGTTGTTGTTGTTGTTGTTGTTGTTGTTGACCACACTATGAATACTATTTCAATTACAACTACAAATACAACGAACAAACAAAAACAGTACTACAACCACAAACAAAACCACAATCATCAAGTCACACTCTCCACATTCTCACTCCTGTGTGCCCTGTTACTTGCACACTTCATTTAATTCATTCACAACACCGACCAGTCACAGTCACTTGCCTAGTCCCACTCACACACAACATCGTCTCCTCACTGTATCCCAACACTTCTACTGTCATGTGTGCCGATTGCTGCTTAACTCAGTGTGAACTTGATTGAGCACGTGGGATGGCATGCAGATACATTGAGTGGACAAGTGTCAAACAGACAGGATGAAACACACTCTCCCTCACTGACTCATCGTCTCAACCTGTGTTACACTGCGTAGTTTGTCGAAGCAGACAGTGGTGGATGGATTGACACGGGGTGATGAGTGGTGAGTGGTTGTGTGGTTGATTGATTGAGTGTGTGAGTGATTGAGTGTGTGTGTGATTGATTGTGTGAGTGAGTGAGTGAGTGAGTGAGTGAGTGAGTGAGTGAGTGAGTGAGTGAGTGAGTGAGTGAGTGAGTAGTATGTGTTGTGTAGTGTGTAGTGTTGTCGTGAATAGCAGAGTGTATTTGCAAGATGAAATGATGGTGAAATGGAATGTTGAAATTGATGAGTAAGTTTTGTGTAGTTCCAATCATTTTCCGTGTGGCCGAGTGGTCTAAGGAGTTGGATGGGGAACCACCTTTAAACGGCGCCGGTTTGAATCCCACCATCAACATACCTATTCACAACCACTAACATCACATTTTCACATCACACGCAATAACCACTATCACATACATACTACCACAATCGCACAATCACAGACCAACATCATCACACTCATCAATAACAACCAATACTACTTCTAATCATATATGCTATAATGCTGCTTATTTCTACACAAGTAGTATATATGGCGAGTCAGGAATAGAATGTGTGGCAGCAGAAATTCGTCAAGTTGGAGGAGGAAAGAACCTGAACAGAAACCGATTGGTATTGAAATGAAGGAACAGTGAATTGTGAGACGATTGATTGACATTCGCAAAGGAACAGTCAAGGTTCATTGATATTTTGCGAATTAAGTATTTACTGTTTTCCTCTCACATTTTACTAAGACACTCTGCAATTTTCACTTCAAATACATTGGATTGTCCTCACTCGTGTTCTTGTTCTTGTTCTTGTTCTTGTTGTTGACCACACTATGAATACTATTTCAATTACAACTACAAATACAACGAACAAACAAAAACAGTACTACAACCACAAACAAAACCACAACCATCAAGTCACACTCTCCACATTCTCACTCCTGTGTGTCCTGTTACTTGCACGACCATCATGGTGACCTTGAGGATGACCTTGAGAATGAATGTGAGTCAGCTGATGGTGATCATGATTTTGAAGATGGTGGTGATGATTTCGATGACGGCGATGATGATGGTGGTGATGGAGATGGCGAATTCGACGAAATTGATGAGTGTGTTGACGACCATCATGGTGACCTTGAGGATGACCTTGAGAATGAATGTGAGTCAGCTGATGGTGATCATGATTTTGAAGATGGTGGTGATGATTTCGATGACGGCGATGATGATGGTGGTGATGGAGATGGCGAATTCGACGAAATTGATGAGTGTGTTGACGACCATCATGGTGACCTTGAGGATGACCTTGAGAATGAATGTGAGTCAGCTGATGGTGATCATGATTTTGAAGATGGTGGTGATGATTTCGATGACGGCGATGATGATGGTGGTGATGGAGATGGCGAATTCGACGGAATTGATGAGTGTGTTGACGACCATCATGGTGACCTTGAGGATGACCTTGAGAATGAATGTGAGTCAGCTGATGGTGATCATGATTTTGAAGATGGTGGTTATGATTTCGATGACGGTGATGATGATGGTGGTGATGGAGATGGCGAATTCGACGAAATCGATGAGTGTGTTGACGACCATCATGGTGACCTTGAGGATGACCTTGAGAATGAATGCGAGTCAGCTGATGGTGATCATGATTTTGAAGATGGTGGTGATGATTTCGATGACGGCGATGATGATGGTGGTGATGGAGATGGCGAATTCGACGAAATTGATGAGTGTGTTGACGACCATCATGGTGACCTTGAGGATGACCTTGAGAATGAATGTGAGTCAGCTGATGGTGATCATGATTTTGAAGATGGTGGTGATGATTTCGATGACGGCGATGATGATGGTGGTGATGGAGATGGCGAATTCGACGAAATTGATGAGTGTTTTGACGACCATCATGGTGACCTTGAGGATGACCTTGAGAATGAATGTGAGTCAGCTGATGGTGATCATGATTTTGAAGATGGTGGTGATGATTTCGATGACGGCGATGATGATGGTGGTGATGGAGATGGCGAATTCGACGAAATTGATGAGTGTGTTGACGACCATCATGGTGACCTTGAGGATGACCTTGAGAATGAATGTGAGTCAGCTGATGGTGATCATGATTTTGAAGATGGTGGTGATGATTTCGATGACGGCGATGATGATGGTGGTGATGGAGATGGCGAATTCGACGGAATTGATGAGTGTGTTGACGACCATCATGGTGACCTTGAGGATGACCTTGAGAATGAATGTGAGTCAGCTGATGGTGATCATGATTTTGAAGATGGTGGTGATGATTTCGATGACGGCGATGATGATGGTGGTGATGGAGATGGCGAATTCGACGAAATTGATGAGTGTGTTGACGACCATCATGGTGACCTTGAGGATGACCTTGAGAATGAATGTGAGTCAGCTGATGGTGATCATGATTTTGAAGATGGTGGTGATGATTTCGATGACGGCGATGATGATGGTGGTGATGGAGATGGCGAATTCGACGAAATTGATGAGTGTGTTGACGACCATCATGGTGACCTTGAGGATGACCTTGAGAATGAATGTGAGTCAGCTGATGGTGATCATGATTTCGAAGATGGTGGTGATGATTTCGATGACGGCGATGATGATGGTGGTGATGGAGATGGCGAATTCGACGAAATCGATGAGTGTGTTGACGACCATCATGGTGACCTTGAGGATGACCTTGAGAATGAATGTGAGTCAGCTGATGGTGATCATGATTTTGAAGATGGTGGTGATGATTTCGATGACGGCGATGATGATGGTGGTGATGGAGATGGCGAATTCGACGAAATTGATGAGTGTTTTGACGACCATCATGGTGACCTTGAGGATGACCTTGAGAATGAATGTGAGTTAGTTGATGGTGATCATGATTTTGAAGATGGTGGTGATGATTTCGATGACGGCGATGATGATGGTGGTGATGGAGATGGCGAATTCGACGGAATTGATGAGTGTGTTGACGACCATCATGGTGACCTTGAGGATGACCTTGAGAATGAATGTGAGTCAGCTGATGGTGATCATGATTTTGAAGATGGTGGTGATGATTTCGATGACGGCGATGATGATGGTGGTGATGGAGATGGCGAATTCGACGAAATTGATGAGTGTGTTGACGACCATCATGGTGACCTTGAGGATGACCTTGAGAATGAATGTGAGTCAGCTGATGGTGATCATGATTTTGAAGATGGTGGTGATGATTTCGATGACGGCGATGATGATGGTGGTGATGGAGATGGCGAATTCGACGAAATTGATGAGTGTGTTGACGACCATCATGGTGACCTTGAGGATGACCTTGAGAATGAATGTGAGTCAGCTGATGGTGATCATGATTTTGAAGATGGTGGTGATGATTTCGATGACGGCGATGATGATGGTGGTGATGGAGATGGCGAATTCGACGAAATTGATGAGTGTGTTGACGACCATCATGGTGACCTTGAGGATGACCTTGAGAATGAATGTGAGTCAGCTGATGGTGATCATGATTTTGAAGATGGTGGTGATGATTTCGATGACGGCGATGATGATGGTGGTGATGGAGATGGCGAATTCGACGAAATTGATGAGTGTGTTGACGACCATCATGGTGACCTTGAGGATGACCTTGAGAAAGAATGTGAGTCAGCTGATGGTGATCATGATTTTGAAGATGGTGGTGATGATTTCGATGACGGCGATGATGATGGTGGTGATGGAGATGGCGAATTCGACGAAATCGATGAGTGTGTTGACGACCATCATGGTGACCTTGAGGATGACCTTGAGAAAGAATGTGAGTCAGCTGATGGTGATCATGATTTTGAAGATGGTGGTGATGATTTCGATGACGGCGATGATGATGGTGGTGATGGAGATGGCGAATTCGACGAAATTGATGAGTGTGTTGACGACCATCATGGTGACCTTGAGGATGACCTTGAGAATGAATGTGAGTCAGCTGATGGTGATCATGATTTTGAAGATGTTGGTGATGATTTCGATGACGGCGATGATGATGGTGGTGATGGAGATGGCGAATTCGACGAAATTGATGAGTGTGTTGACGACCATCATGGTGACCTTGAGGATGACCTTGAGAATGAATGTGAGTCAGCTGATGGTGATCATGATTTTGAAGATGGTGGTGATGATTTCGATGACGGCGATGATGATGGTGGTGATGGAGATGGCGAATTCGACGAAATTGATGAGTGTGTTGACGACCATCATGGTGACCTTGAGGATGACCTTGAGAATGAATGTGAGTCAGCTGATGGTGATCATGATTTTGAAGATGGTGGTGATGATTTCGATGACGGCGATGATGATGGTGGTGATGGAGATGGCGAATTCGACGAAATTGATGAGTGTGTTGACGACCATCATGGTGACCTTGAGGATGACCTTGAGAAAGAATGTGAGTCAGCTGATGGTGATCATGATTTTGAAGATGGTGGTGATGATTTCGATGACGGCGATGATGATGGTGGTGATGGAGATGGCGAATTCGACGAAATTGATGAGTGTGTTGACGACCATCATGGTGACCTTGAGGATGACCTTGAGAATGAATGTGAGTCAGCTGATGGTGATCATGATTTTGAAGATGGTGGTGATGATTTCGATGACGGCGATGATGATGGTGGTGATGGAGATGGCGAATTCGACGGAATTGATGAGTGTGTTGACGACCATCATGGTGACCTTGAGGATGACCTTGAGAATGAATGTGAGTCAGCTGATGGTGATCATGATTTTGAAGATGTTGGTGATGATTTCGATGACGGCGATGATGATGGTGTTGATGGAGATGGCGAATTCGACGAAATCGATGAGTGTGTTGACGACCATCATGGTGACCTTGAGGATGACCTTGAGAAAGAATGTGAGTCAGCTGATGGTGATCATGATTTCGAAGATGGTGGTGATGATTTCGATGACGGCGATGATGATGGTGGTGATGGAGATGGCGAATTCGACGGAATTGATGAGTGTGTTGACGACCATCATGGTGACCTTGAGGATGACCTTGAGAATGAATGTGAGTCAGCTGATGGTGATCATGATTTTGAAGATGGTGGTGATGATTTCGATGACGGCGATGATGATGGTGGTGATGGAGATGGCGAATTCGACGAAATTGATGAGTGTGTTGACGACCATCATGGTGACCTTGAGGATGACCTTGAGAATGAATGTGAGTCAGCTGATGGTGATCATGATTTTGAAGATGGTGGTGATGATTTCGATGACGGCGATGATGATGGTGGTGATGGAGATGGCGAATTCGACGGAATTGATGAGTGTGTTGACGACCATCATGGTGACCTTGAGGATGACCTTGAGAATGAATGTGAGTCAGCTGATGGTGATCATGATTTTGAAGATGGTGGTGATGATTTCGATGACGGCGATGATGATGGTGGTGATGGAGATGGCGAATTCGACGAAATCGATGAGTGTGTTGACGACCATCATGGTGACCTTGAGGATGACCTTGAGAAAGAATGTGAGTCAGCTGATGGTGATCATGATTTTGAAGATGGTGGTGATGATTTCGATGACGGCGATGATGATGGTGGTGATGGAGATGGCGAATTCGACGGAATTGATGAGTGTGTTGACGACCATCATGGTGACCTTGAGGATGACCTTGAGAATGAATGTGAGTCAGCTGATGGTGATCATGATTTTGAAGATGGTGGTGATGATTTCGATGACGGCGATGATGATGGTGGTGATGGAGATGGCGAATTCGACGAAATTGATGAGTGTTTTGACGACCACCATGGTGACCTTGAGGATGACCTTGAGAATGAATGTGAGTTAGTTGATGATGATCATGATTTTGAAGATGGTGGTGATGATTTCGATGACGGCGATGATGATGGTGGTGATGGAGATGGCGAATTCGACGAAATTGATGAGTGTGTTGACGACCATCATGGTGACCTTGAGGATGACCTTGAGAATGAATGTGAGTCAGCTGATGGTGATCATGATTTTGAAGATGGTGGTGATGATTTCGATGACGGCGATGATGATGGTGGTGATGGAGATGGCGAATTCGACGAAATCGATGAGTGTGTTGACGACCATCATGGTGACCTTGAGGATGACCTTGAGAATGAATGTGAGTCAGCTGATGGTGATCATGATTTTGAAGATGGTGGTGATGATTTCGATGACGGCGATGATGATGGTGGTGATGGAGATGGCGAATTCGACGAAATTGATGAGTGTGTTGACGACCATCATGGTGACCTTGAGGATGACCTTGAGAATGAATGTGAGTCAGCTGATGGTGATCATGATTTTGAAGATGGTGGTGATGATTTCGATGACGGCGATGATGATGGTGGTGATGGAGATGGCGAATTCGACGGGATGAGTGTGTTGACGACCATCATGGTGACCTTGAGGATGACCTTGAGAATGAATGTGAGTCAGCTGATGGTGATCATGATTTTGAAGATGGTGGTGATGATTTCGATGACGGCGATGATGATGGTGGTGATGGAGATGGCGAATTCGACGGAATTGATGAGTGTGTTGACGACCATCATGGTGACCTTGAGGATGACCTTGAGAATGAATGTGAGTCAGCTGATGGTGATCATGATTTTGAAGATGGTGGTGATGATTTCGATGACGGCGATGATGATGGTGGTGATGGAGATGGCGAATTCGACGAAATTGATGAGTGTGTTGACGACCATCATGGTGACCTTGAGGATGACCTTGAGAATGAATGTGAGTCAGCTGATGGTGATCATGATTTTGAAGATGGTGGTGATGATTTCGATGACGGCGATGATGATGGTGGTGATGGAGATGGCGAATTCGACGGAATTGATGAGTGTGTTGACGACCATCATGGTGACCTTGAGGATGACCTTGAGAATGAATGTGAGTCAGCTGATGGTGATCATGATTTTGAAGATGGTGGTGATGATTTCGATGACGGCGATGATGATGGTGGTGATGGAGATGGCGAATTCGACGGAATTGATGAGTGTGTTGACGACCATCATGGTGACCTTGAGGATGACCTTGAGAATGAATGTGAGTCAGCTGATGGTGATCATGATTTTGAAGATGGTGGTGATGATTTCGATGACGGCGATGATGATGGTGGTGATGGAGATGGCGAATTCGACGAAATCGATGAGTGTGTTGACGACCATCATGGTGACCTTGAGGATGACCTTGAGAATGAATGTGAGTCAGCTGATGGTGATCATGATTTCGAAGATGGTGGTGATGATTTCGATGACGGCGATGATGATGGTGGTGATGGAGATGGCGAATTCGACGGAATTGATGAGTGTGTTGACGACCATCATGGTGACCTTGAGGATGACCTTGAGAATGAATGTGAGTCAGCTGATGGTGATCATGATTTTGAAGATGGTGGTGATGATTTCGATGACGGCGATGATGATGATGGTGATGGAGATGGCGAATTCGACGGAATTGATGAGTGTGTTGACGACCATCATGGTGACCTTGAGGATGACCTTGAGAATGAATGTGAGTCAGCTGATGGTGATCATGATTTTGAAGATGGTGGTGATGATTTCGATGACGGCGATGATGATGGTGGTGATGGAGATGGCGAATTCGACGGAATTGATGAGTGTGTTGACGACCATCATGGTGACCTTGAGGATGACCTTGAGAATGAATGTGAGTTAGTTGATGATGATCATCATTTTGAAGATGGTGGTGATGATTTCGATGACGGCGATGATGATGGTGGTGATGGAGATGGCGAATTCGACGGAATTGATGAGTGTGTTGACGACCATCATGGTGACCTTGAGGATGACCTTGAGAATGAATGTGAGTCAGCTGATGGTGATCATGATTTCGAAGATGGTGGTGATGATTTCGATGACGGCGATGATGATGGTGGTGATGGAGATGGCGAATTCGACGGAATTGATGAGTGTGTTGACGACCATCATGGTGACCTTGAGGATGACCTTGAGAATGAATGTGAGTCAGCTGATGGTGATCATGATTTTGAAGATGGTGGTGATGATTTCGATGACGGCGATGATGATGGTGGTGATGGAGATGGCGAATTCGACGAAATTGATGAGTGTGTTGACGGCCATCATGGTGACCTTGAGGATGACCTTGAGAATGAATGTGAGTCAGCTGATGGTGATCATGATTTTGAAGATGGTGGTGATGATTTCGATGACGGCGATGATGATGGTGGTGTCTATACTTTTATATGAGCATATATGTGTACACTTCGTATCTTATTCATCATATGTCTGTCATTCATTTTTGTCCGACTATAAATATTGATTAACGCTTGCTTAAATCGAGTTGGCTTCCCAGCCATCTCCACTACGCATCATCTTTGCTTCGCTCGCTTACATTTGCTCATGTGCTTACAACTTTCTGGTCTGCATCATTTATCAATAAAAATGTAGTTGCCGCTTCCTTATGCCTTCTGATTTTATACACCGTTAAGATTGGTATAGTAACGGTTATCGAAGTGAACTATTATCGAAGCACGGCACTACAAGAGATATTGAAGGTGGATAGAACATAAAAGGTGATAATCATATATCTCCATCCCATAACAAGTTCTAACCTGGAATTCTTAAGAGAAAAAGAAAAGAGGAAAAGAAAAGAACACAGTGAGCCGAGAATTTCAGGTAGATACCAAAAGGATGAATACTAACTGGAAACAACTAGAAAACATTGCTCAGTACAAAGGACATTAGAGACTGATGGTCAGCGGCTTATGTTCTATCACAGATAACAGGTATAAGTTAGATAAGCTCTTGTCATGTACTATCTTGTTCATTTAGGATAAACGTGTAGTAAAAATAATGTAGGGATATCAGGTAATACAGAAAAGTTTAAAAAAGTCATTCCTATGCAATATTTTCATAACAGAATGTTCATTATGTAAACACTGAATATTAATTCATTATTCGTTGCGTTGAAACTGACTTCATGCTTAATAAAATAGTGGCTAGCGTTGAAATTCAGGACGCCTGTTTCGTCCTGTTTGAGACTCGTCAACTGGATTCAACTGCATCTCAGGTTTTTTTGTTCACTCTGGGACTTGAACCCAGTACCTTTCGTTTCGAATGCCATCACCTTATCTACACAGCTACTGAGTCTTCTAATAAAATACTGTTTCGATACTTTTATGTCAATTAGTTTGAGATTGAGATTTTGATTATGTACTGTATATCTCTGATTAGGCCTTTGGTAACTTGTACAACGAAAGGTTGTACACTTTTCAGAAAGGCACCCGAATGTGTTGTAAGAATAATAGCCATAATGATGTATTAAAACAAAAAAAATTAGATAAGTTATGATAATATATAGATAACAGAAACAGGTAGCTCAGATGCTTAAGCAGGCCGCCAGTTGATATATATATATCAGCTCAATATTTCCCGTCACCAATGTTTATAATTTTATATTATCTTATATATTCATCTTACACAACAATATGAATACAACCGTAGGTAGATGAACAAAAAGGACGAAATAAAGTGAATTTACATTATTCTGTCTTAAATGGCTGATAGGGTATGGGAACTTGAACTGATTTACACACATAAAGGTACTACATTTTGACTGACTGACTGACTAACTCACTAATTGACCACTTCTATTGTTGTTTTGGCTTCATTCAAATTCATAAAGCAAATTAATTGTCTGGATTAATCTGACATTTATCAGTTATTGTTTTCCCTCATTGTTACTAGTATAATGACTAGTTATTATGAAAGAATATTCTATTGTTACCAAGTTAACACATGAATATTGCACTATTGTATATCAATTGAATAGAGGTGAATACTACTTCTGATTGAATTTCAATTGGCTTACACATCAACTTAAATAGGTTACATTGCTATAGTAGCTTGAATTATTATTGTTTTTTTGATCAGGACTAAATTGGTTGCTATGGTGATAGACAGAGTTTAGTGGATGTTTTTTGACAAGACAGGATTTATTTCATTTTAAAAAAAATTCATTGAGATTGAAAACGCAGACATATGAATGAAGAACAGTTTATCCATTCACTTTTCATCAGGTTCTACCATTATATATCGACATGAATAATCCAAAAAGGTAGCCAGGTTTAAACAAATATGTCGTTCAACATTCTAATTTCTTAATTCAGAATTATCAGAAGGGGTTTAGGGGAGATTTTAGTAATTTTATAGAGTTGAGTAAGCAGTGTAGTTCAACCACGTCTGTTGTGAGTTATCGACTCACTGAAGACAATTGGTGAACGGTTGCTCAACTTCGTGGATCAGTTGAAGTTAGACAATAACACCGTTCGATGCCGGATCAGTGATCTATCGGCTATGTGCTCTGGCGCGAGACTGGTAGGTCCTGCGTTCGAATCTCGCAATGCGGGATCATGGATGCGCACTGCTAAGCAGTCCCACAATAGGAAGAGACAGCCATCCAGTGCTTTCAGGATTTCCATGCTAGTTTAAATTCAATTGACTCATGATCTCGACTCTATATAATTCAGAATTGTTTGTAAAATAGTATCAAACTCTTATTACTGAACTGAGGTGTTATGTGTATGAGACTAATGACTACAGTAAATGTAGGTTAAATAGGGTAAGAGAAATAATCATGTAATTACAAATCAAAATAAATATTTGATCAAGAATCAACGCAATATATAGAATCAAAGATGGATAGTAGCTAGCAGTGAAATTCATGGCGAGTCCCAAATAGGACGAAACGCGCGTTCTAGATTCCGCTGCTAGCCAATATCCATCTTTGCCTACAACGCTTGTGAATTAAGGCTATATAATGGCAATAGGCACAGTATGCAAATATGCCAATAAGAGACTGACCAGTTGCAGTCCTAAACATCAATGTGAAGATTCAGACAAACAATACTAAGTAATATATAGAATATTATCCGAATGGGGATCTGTGGAGATTATAGTAATTTAACAGTTGAACTCATGAGTCGACGTAAGCTAGACCACCATCGTTACAGTATGAGACTTCTCAGCAGTGTGCATCCACTATCCCAAACATGGGACTTGAATACAGGATCTTCGGCCTCACGAAACAGCTATCCAAGGCTTCCAGGTTTTCGATAGTGGTCTAGCTTAAATCGATTAATGAACTCAACTATATATAGAATAATATAAATGAGGTCAGAATCGATAAATCGGGATGGAAGCTGAAGATATTTCTCAAAAATGCTCTCAAGGATAATAATAACAATATCAGTAGGATAATTAAAGAATTCATTAACTTCAAGCCATCTCTTGTTCTGCTTATAACTTTAACAAGCAATGTTAATCGTTTAGAATATAACGTCTATTACCCCTTGTGGAGGAGCATAGGCCACACAACAGCATTCTCCAACAAACGCTGTCTTAAGCTCTCCTTTCCAATTGTTTTCAACTGCTATTGTGGTGTGGTCTACTTATATCCATATAAGTAGTATATGGTGTGGGTCAGACATAGAATGTATTTTGGCAAAAGACCGATAAGTAAAGAACTGAAATGAAGCGCAATCGTTTGGAAAATTCATGAGCAATGGAATAAGAGAAGAAACAGTGAAGATTGAAACAATTGGTTGTTAATTTGCAAATTGACTGTTCATTGTTTGGTTATCAGAATTTACTGAGATAGTCTGTAATGTTTGCTTAAATACATTCGATTGTCCCCAACTAGTGTTTTGTTCACTACACTGTTCTTTTTTTTCTTGTATGCTTCCAATTACCCATACAATGTGTTCCTTGACCTTTTTCTTTTCTGTTTACCTTCAGGATTCCGTGTTAAAGCTGGCCTCATGATGCAATGTGATGATTTCCGCAATTTATGTATGAGTTTGACTGGTAGAGATAAATTAATAATAGACAAGATTGGGAAAGAACTAAAAATCATTCAAATAGTCGTTTACTTATCGGTTAAATAATATGAATATTCTAGTAAAAGAAACTAAAATGTGCATAAAAGTAGGATTTATTGAAGTAGAAGATTTATGTCGTAGTTTGCGTAATACTTTAAAGAAATGGACTAGCTAATCTAAGCTAAAATAGAAAGCAAGAAGTAAGAAATCTGTTATATCTCGAACTTAGATTCATAGTCTGTCGCTTGATACTTGATTACTCGAACACTAGAACTCTCCCAAGTCACAAACCAGAAAACAGAAGAAAAGTAGAAGGAATTTTATTCCAAACAGTGTCGATTATGGTACAAAACTGTCAGGTATTTATAGTTTTTAGTAGAAACGAAATCATCTATATAGTTATCCAATCTGCACACAGGGAGTTATCAGCATTGTCCAATAGGGAAGATACACGTAGTGATTCTAGAATATTCTTCTAAAAGCTGATTAAATGGAAAATGTCCGGCTCCTTTTGGGCTTTTTATAGCTTCCTCAACTTCACCTGTGGACCATCTTTACAAAATCCTTGTTACGATCGTAGGGAAACTGTTAAGAAACTCAAAACAACGATGTCATCAAAGCAAAGAAAAAACTAATAGCTTTGTTTTTTTTTCAGGTGTATTAATTTGATTCAACTCATTTAATAGCAATATCAGTGAGTAAAAAACTTGAAGTCCTTTGTTTATCGATTATCTTGGAAGATTTTAAAATACCAGCATCATATCGATTATTTAAAAAAACGTTGGCAGATCATACCAATAAGGGAAACTATTTTATCCATTTGGTTTGTAAATAAAGAAACAAATTAGGCTTCGTGTTCACCCAACAAGTGACAGAAATGATAAACATATGTACTACTTACTTACTTACGCCTGTTACTCCCAATCGAGCATAGGCCACCGACCAGCATTCTCCAACCCACTCACTCTGTCATGCGCTTTTCTTTATAGTTCTATTCCAATTTTTGTTCATTCTACTCATATCTGTCTCCATTTCTCGGTGTAATGTGTTATTTGGTCTTTCTCTTTTTTCCTTTGGCCTTCGGGATTCCATGTGAGGACATGTCTTGTGATGCAGTTCGGTGATTTCCTCAATCTGTGTCCTATCCACTTCCAAAACATATGTATATTTATATCGAAATAAATATTGAATTGGGAGATTAATATTTTTAAATTACTAAGTAAATAAGATTGTTTTATTGAATTGAAAAAGTGAATTGAGTAGTCCCGAGTAGTAGTGTGGTGTGCAAATCTCACTTGAACAGATATCAATGGTATGTAGAATGAATAGGAAGTGAAATGCTCAT